AATGGATAGATGGGAGGTGAATTTTATTTCTTCGATACGATAAGGAAATTGGTCAGCCAAAGATCGATATTTCCAAAGTTCTGCGACTAGGCTCACATCTATTTCATAGCTTTTTGTAGAGGTGATTTTCAAAGGCCTTGTCTGTGGATAACAGAAACGATAGAAAACAAATAACGGAACTTAAATTCAATTAGTCACACTTTGAAAAAAACATGAGGTCGATCCAAGTACGAATTGGATGGATATAGGGGCGGATATAAAGGCGGGGGAATTCAGTGGTTCTTATCTTTCGCAGGTCCAAACCGCTACAAGACGCTAATCTTTCAATCAGGATTCCCAGACAAATTTCTCTAGGGCTTGAACAGTTCGGTGAGAGTCGGTATGGTTCAAAAAAAGCCTGCATGTAAGCCGTTCCCATTAAAACCTTGATCGCAATGAGTAATTGATCAGACTCACTGAGTTCGGTCTCAATAATTTTAAGTAAACAACGCAAAGTAACCAAATAGAAATGGCTGACTGCATAGCTCAATATTACTGAGCCCAGCTACTAGTGGTAAGATTAAGCGACTGGAGGTCCCAGTTAATGAGATGGATTCGTTTCATCCAGGTTCGGTGTCGTTTACAGATTGCGATTTGGCGATAATGATTCCGATACTATTGTTCCGCCCATCAAATATTGAGAACGAGATTCGGAGATCTAGTGATTTCGGGGTGCGAACGACGACCAGAGAAGCTACGAAAACGTGGTCCTCGGTGCCGTCACAAAACTCTTAACGACTCTTGTTTCAAACTGATAAGCTCTTGCTCACTACTTACTATTATTTTCCCTTCTGAAGGTCGTTTCAATATGAAGCACCCAACAGTGTGTTTTTTAACCAACCATGCTACCTTGAAATCGTCAGGATGAGTGTTGGTGCACAGATAAGGTTTGAAAAAGAAACCCCGATGTGCTGGGGCTCGGACTTGTGTTCCTGTTGTGATCGGTACATTCGCGCGTCTAATGCCACTCCCTCTCCCTCGACTCATTTTGATGACGGGCACTCTTTTTGGATCTAGGCAAAGCCGCGCAATGTATAAGTTCAAAGCGAAGGAAGCGAGACAAAAGAATTGATAAGTTATAATATTAAGGCGCCCGTTTTTAGCCACAATGTCTCTCCATCAACCGAACAGGCAATCTTCAATCTCCGAACTTTCTCAATGAACTCCTCCAGATTTTCCGCGTATGATTATCGAGAGCATCTCCAAAGGGTGTTAATCAGTGATATGTATGGTAGATGACGAATTCGATTCCAACACTTTTCATTGTTCATGTCACTGGACTGAAAAATGGTCAGTGAAATTCTTCCCCAATCGTAACTTGCTCAATGATCACTAATTTGCTGTTGATTCAGCGTTTCGGCATTTGTACAATCTGCACAGTAGTACGAGTTATTTTATTCTCTTTGGTGAGTATTTCAAAGAAAAGGATTCATTCATATCTCACTGTATATGATACGCTAAGTGTGTCTGTTGGCTTGTCGATGTGTTTGTGTGCGTGTCGGTGTGTGTATTCGTCCGAGAATTCATAACCCCTGTTCCCGTGGACCTAGAGCGTTCAAACTTGGTAGGAATATAAGCGACACGATACGAACACTCATGACAAGTGGCAGGACAAACTCCGCCTACAGCGGGCAGGGCGTGCGCGACTGAAATTTTTGACCGCAAATTTCCCAAATCAAATTTTAATATGTTTCACCCAATAAGACGGGTAACTGCAGTGACAGGGACCGATCAAAAGCTTTTCTCCATGATGAGATGAGAATTTGGTTTATTTTTGCTATTAGACTACGACCGCTACCCTCCACGATTTGTGACTCAATGAAGTATCAAGGTTTTCTTGTTTCGACATCATTTGTGACGAAACTACCACACCGCTGAGAATCTGGGATTTCCAATCAATGATAAATCCTCAGAGGAAAAAGTTCCATTGATAACGACATCTGATGATGGGCGTTATTATCACTAGGAAACATTTGTGAGTACCATTCATGGCCTGGTTTAACTAATAGATGGATCTTGGGTTAACCGTGGTGGTGGGTTAACCATTTATCACAACTGTCAGAACCGTAAGGTTGGGGCACTTTCACCTTCGAAGCTTTCCAGGAACTCATAACGCTTGCCCTTCGTTGAATAAAGCATTGCTTTTCCTATATAAGAAGTTATTGGGGTCGGAGTGAAATTCACTAAAGTATGTAGTAGTCATGAATATGAGTACTATTCATTAATCGAACACACTAACCAGTAGTAATTTGAAATAACCCTGAAAAGATCCTAGAGAACCTAGTCGAATATCAGCGAACAGTTTTTGGTAATATGGCGTAAACGGGGAAGGATCAGTACCGAAGAACCTCCTTCTCCTCGCTCCTGAGAGGACAATGGCGACGTTCTGTATAATGTTTGAGGAAAGGAGAGGAGGAGCTCTTTAGTCTGATACATCTCTCAAGGGTTTCAAATGTAAGCCTGTGTGTGAGAGCACTATTGTCGAACATCGTGCATTGTGCTCTTTGCTCAGCCCTGTACGTTCTATAGCCATTGACTGATGGGTGCTACGTGGGTTGGGGAGCCACGCGGCGGCGCGGCACTTTGCTGTCTGGCGCTCTCTCCAGCGAGATAGTAGTTCTGAGCCTGACAAGGGAAGGATCCCAAGTCGAAGTGGCCATATGAAATGAGACCTATGCTGCTAGACATATTTTTCGATGCTGATTTCAAATCTGCATTCAAAATCTGCCAAACGATTCTCTGAGCGAAGTTATGGAAGTGGTCTCCGGAGAGCGCTCAACAGGGGAAAGCACAAAAGCCATGGTTGTCGTCAGCGTAGCAGTGGCGGCTTGGAGTGGAGGTAAGCGTGACGCTTCACAGGCACGGGACCAACGATCAAGTTTGATGGAGGGCGGCATTTTTGCATTTTGCAGGACTTTTTCCTCCGAAGTGTAAAAAGCTTTTTATAATAGTTTTACTGCCTTCAGCGACTTTCTAGTTGCTGGAAGCGAGTCAGTTCCTACTTAAACCACCTTCCACTGTTATCGATTAGTTTTTAAAAAAGGTGGGGGTTGCGGTCAGTTTTC